GCAAATGGAAGTGCATCTCTTGCATTTATGCAAACATAAAAAAGCAAGAAACATGCACTTAAGGGCAACGTGAAAAGTGAGTGCATCCACTTCTCTTTTGTTTGCCAATGTTAAATGCAGATCTACATTTTTCATATTAAGCTTTCACTGTAGGTGCTTGAATTTTAAACAAGCCGATTTTGTAGAGTGGGTATGTAGGGTATGGAGTTCCCAGGTTCATGTGTAGCCTTGGGTTTGTTATTGTTCAAAATGAAAAAAACATAATGCTGAAAAACAAGCAGTTGCTTTCTGCTTCTGAATGAAAAGCCTAAAATGTAAATGCTAAATGCAGATCTCCACAATCAATAACGCCAACTATCCTAAAAGTAAATATTTGCCTTAGCTCTGGATCTTAAAGAACTACACAGAGAAAGAAACCTCACAGCAAATATTAGGCATAGATTTGAGTTTTCCATCTTATCAAACTTCAAACACAGCCTTACTCTTTGTACTGCATGTGAAAAGATGACAATCATATAAACAAGTGCTTTGTCTAGGCGTGCTCTACTTCAAAGTTTTAAAGCGTGACCCATTTCCTCTCCAAGCTGTAATTGCCTCCTACTACTGTATCACGCATAAACGCTTCACATAATCATGTGCCTGGAAAAGGCTACAAATTGTTGATGCACGCTGTCTATCCTGCAGATGACACGTGACCATAATCCCTTAAATAGCATATCCTCCGCAGCTGACTAACCTTCCTCATGATCTTTTAGACAATAAGGTCTACATGTTGACAGCAAATTAAACTGCCAGCTAGGAATCATCATGATAGCCATTAGTGGATGTATTAATAGTTTAGTTAAGCAAGCAAGGGCCAATGTGCTGGGATAAAATCATTGTGTACACATTTGATCAATAAAAGTTGTTAGTGAGAACATTTCCTGATTGTCTTTATTGATTCCAACTCCTGCTTATATGGGTTTGATGTGATACAATGAACTAAGATAAACTCAAAATGTCTATATATATATATATATATATATATATATAACATTTGAGAAATGATTAAGCGTTTGTCAGTGTGGAAAGTCATACCACATTGATTCATGGTTTTCTTTGTCTTGGGCAAAGCCTGAACAGAAACTAGTATAACTACGCAAACTTCCAGCACATCTAAAATATGGCGTCTGTATGTGGCAGTTTCCCATTAGGAGGCGCTTTCTTGTCCTGCATAATTATGTCCACTTTTGGAATTGTGCTCCCATTTACCCACATCTGATTGAAACTAGTTGACCCTTATAGCACATGGCTGTGGAATGTCCAGGAAAATTGTTCTCGGCTGCAATCTGTATTCCTATTCCTGACCTCCACTCGCTCCAAAAATCTGTTTATCTGAAGATTGCTGAAGCAAAATTCAAATAAAGCTTTCTTTTCTTTTCTGACAATGGAATATGAAATTGGCATCTATAGTACTGGAGTCCAAAGCCACAGTTATTGATACAAAGCAAATACTGTATCACTATAAATAACTGAAGAAAGTGTACACATGCCAACAGCTGACCTTTTTCCATTCCAAACATCCACAAGTGGGAATCATCAGCGGAGCCACATTTAACTGCAGCTGGCAGTGTCAAGATGCAAAGATTAGGCCCACTAATGAATATTAGCCAACATGCAGCCGCTGGGTGTTTAGATGCAGTTCACCCCCATTGATTTCCCTGTTGGGTGAAGACAACTTTATCCCTGTGGCAAGTCCCTGGCTTATCTACCCCCCCCCGACTGCAAGGCAGCCGGCAGACAGACGGGGTGATTTCTGGCCATGTTTCAGGAGGATTTGAGTCTGGCAGGTGTGAGCGGGATACCTGAGGTGTAACACACAGGGGCAGCAGAGGGCAGGAGCAGTATGTTTGTGGGTTAAGAAGTGGACAAAGATGTCCAGCTGTGAGGGGGGGGAACCGTATAGGGGGAATATTCAGGATGGCCCAATTAACACAAAGCCCAGACTATCACAGAGAGCAGGTGGCTGTGAGAGACAAGGAGAGATAAAGTGAGAGGAAGTGTGGAGAAAGGTGGCAGATGGCTGTAGAATTGGATGTGTACAAAGAAGAAATAGAGAAGAATACAGAGGAGCGACTCTAAGGAGAGACACAACTCTGCTAGATCTTAAAGAGATTCATTTCAACCTCACATCACAAAGGCATATCCACAAAACACTAAGAGCTGTAGAAAATAAGAAGACTTCAAACGTGTTCTCATTGATTCACCGTTGCACCTCTGAGAGAGGAAATTACTTTGACACAGTGGCGCTTGCATTTGTGGAGAATGCAGCAGTGGATGTGTCTGTACAAGCTCAAAACGTCAATAATTTACAGGAAGAATAAACAGCAGCTCTGCGACTCCTGTTATTTTGTGGATCTATCATCCGAGACGCAGATGATGACTAGATAATAAACTGATGAATAAACAGGAGACTGGAAAACTTTCTGCTGCTAAATGTCTTTCTATTAGTGCTACTGTGACAAAGAAAGAGGTACACACTCAGAAATGGTTCCCTGTAATATTTAAGTATTAAACAGGGATTCATTTTTTCAAAGCCCCACTCTGGGCAGAACCTGTGTACAAGGCCAGCTGCCGCAGTAATTCCTCCCATTTATCTTCAGGTCAAAAAAAAAAGGGAAAAAAAGGAAAAGACTCGGGGCCATGTAAAGTGGCAGAACCTTATCAATGGTGTCAAACACAAACACACAATGAGCTGCAGGTCATCATTATTACTGACTTAGGCCTAGGCTCCACGGGGACGAAAACGGGTTGAATCCGCATATTTCTCATGCGTATAGCCCTTTTAAGCTCGACGACGCCGTAACGGAAAGGTAGAAACGGACCCCGCAAACGACAACGGGTCCAAAGGTGGATAGATCTGGGAACGGAGCGCTCTGGGGGGTCCAACGGGGCCGTGGGGTCGCCTATACGGTCATCCGTTTCTGATAATGACGACGCAATAGCCCCGCCTCTCCCCGCCTCTGCTGCTCACCCCCGCAAAAGTACACTGCACACTGAATTCAGATTATTTATCTTTATCTCGATATGGACATAAACGAGAGTGAAGTCTAATCTGACAGGACGGAGACACGCAGCTCCTGCCGCTGTGATGCAGCGGGAGCAAAACACACACTTCAAGTCAGATCATCACCCTTAGCTATTTTAATTACCTCTCAAACTACCTAAACTAGTTATAAATATGTTCATTTTTACTGTCGGGTTTACTTACTGGATCAGCTGCTGCATGAGACAGACACTGACGCTGTCAGAAGAGAGGAAAAAGAGACAGGCTCCGTGTATTTTATTATTATATATCATTATATCGTCGTTATTCATTTGTTTTAAAGCTCAATAAATAACAAAGAAGACCTTTGACCGGCACTTTTATAATTTTGTCTGGAAGATTTCAACTTTAACACACGTTGACCGGCGAAAAACTCTGCCCGGTTCCCTCGGCCCCCACCGCGGAGAATAAACAGAAGTGCAGCCATGACAACCATTCTTCTTCGCTGCTTTTGTGGAGGAAGTTGCTGCTTTTGTGGAGGAAGTTACAGCGCCACGTACAGGTTCGGCATATGTACTGCAGCTTTTCCAGCGGTTGGATGTAAATGGAGCCGTCTTGTGGAGCTTGACACAATCCGGTGTATATTGCGTGTGGACGGAAGGTTTTTGGCGATTGCGTTTGCGTTACTCCGATGCGTTTTGCCGTATGGGTTCCCGTGGAGGCGGGGCCTTACTGTCCTCCAATCAGAGGGGGTGACACAGCTGGGGGGGGGCACCGGTTGGACACTGCTATGCTAATCCATTAGCAACCTGCTTCAAGTGAGGCGGAGTTCACGCTTGATCACATTTCGTCTTCCTCAACAAAATGGGAGAGTCTGAGTCAACACTTAAATTGTGTTTATGAAGAAAAATGTGCTGCATCGGGATGTTTTTCCTTTATTCCCCCCCGCCGTGTTATTATTTTTCCCACTTGTTTTATGAGATTATGCTTTTTAGTGAAAATGTGTCTAAGTCATCATCTTACATTTCTTGTTGCTTTCCTTGTATGTGTAGAGAGGTTTTCCCTAGCCCTGTGGGTTGGACTGTGATCATTATGACTGTGCAAATGATCTCTAATTTAAGTTGCCCTACATTTCCCCCAATGATCAGCCGCAATGAGAGAAAATGACCTCATAAATGAGGATGTTACATTTATTTTCAACATTTGCTATTATTTCGGCACCTCGAGCCACTGTCCTTGGTGTCTGCTTGTGTTGTTCTCAGTCTGCACTCAGCAGCTCCACTCTGGGAATTAGCGTTCAACCTGTTATTTTGGCTTTGAAGGGAAAAGTACAGCAAGAGAGAAAATGCTGCAGCTATCCAGGCACTCTCACTTTGCACTACAGTAGTTCATGTTTGGACACACCTCGGCCAATGTTGCATCAAAGCATGCACGTTGTGTGAGGCTTCCTAAAGTCTTACTCACAACATTTCTGTAGCACTAGATGTGGAATGGACTAGAACGTTTGCCCCAGATATAATTTGGTTCCCTGTAAGTCACCTCTGGCTTAACAAGGTCCCAGTGGTTCATTTCACTGTTCACTACACACTCCTTCACAGATGTGCACTGCCTCTAGCCTCCAGCTAGGTGTTTATAAATAAGGCAAACTGTACAGAAGAGCCACTCTACAAGCCTGTGTTGAAAGAGTATTATTGCTGACATAGATAGACGTATCTAGAATCTTGGCAATTTAACAAGACTAACACAATGCTCACTTTGTTAGCATTAAACAACACCAGCTCCCATAAAAATGACTCCTAGGAGGTGAGGTTATCAAAAGCTAAGAAATAATGAGACATCATTGTGGTAAGTATGAGCTTGTTTCATCACAATGCTTTTGATTAATTGTGTGTTTTGTCATTTTTTTTCAATTAGGAATGAATTTTCTTTTGTTGACTGATTAAATGATATGCCAACTAGTGAGTGTGTGGCGTACCGTGATCCAAGATGATGAGCTGAGCGCTGGACTGGATGTTTCCTGCATCGTTTTCCGCAAGGCACTGATAGAAACCCTCATCTGACTTCACCAGACCCAGGACCTGCAGGTTGTGCTCCTTCTGCAGAACAGGAGGAGAAGAAATAGAGAAAAAGATAAGAAGATTAAAGTTGGTTAGTTACAACTAGCATTTTTAAACCTTCGTCATCATAACACTGTGATGATGCTAAATCATGCAAAGCCTGCAGGAAAGGGAGAAAGCTGCATCTCTAGTGCCAAATGTACTTACAATTATTTTGAAGTAGTCGCTGGGGATGACAGCATCTCCATTCTTGACCCATTTGACAGTGGGAGCGGGGACCCCTGAAACCTCACAGTCAAAGATGATGTCCATGGACTCGTAGGCGTAAACGTTGTCTGGCCGCTTGACAAACTGGGGAGGAACTGTGGAATCCAGATGAGAGAGGGAAGTTGCAAAAATGAAATAACATTGCATTCATTGTGATGGAATTAGCAGTATAAGGAACAGAGTGATTAAGAGGGACTGCAGAACATTTGTAGCAGTCCTCTTTTTGTATGAACATCAGAAACCAATTTGTTAAAACCAACCAGACACATGAAACTCCGTCACTCTGGTCTCTGCCAGTAAATGAAGAAAACCCAAGTGATGCCATGGCTCCCCCTTCAACTGGCAAATTGCCATTCAAGGGAGGATGGCAAGAACAACAAACAGTATCATCTGAAAAACAACTTATCAAATTATATTCTGTACCCTTCACACAACTGCAACCTTTTTCGCCAGATGGCAGCACTTGGAATATTTGTTTAAAAAGGATCAAAAACCTCTGATCTTATATATTGAATAAAAACAGCTACTTGGGTAACAGCACTGTGTGATAGCATGCTACACTGGCTACGCCGAGCACTTGCAGATCTCCCCTAGTCCTGGTAATGAGGGCCACAAAGGAGTTATTTGATCTGCTGGGGTGATACAGCGCCTCATCAATCTGTCCTGGAACAAGGTCACTGGGAGCGCAGGGCCCAGGCCTCTTCCTCTCTCTATAATTGGACTGCATGTGTATGTGAGGAGAGACAGAGTAAGACAGACTGTGCTGTGTGTGTGTGTGTGTGTGTGTGTGTGTGTGTGTGTGTGTGTGTGTGTGTGTGTGTGTGTGTGTGTGTGTGTGTGTGTGTGTGTGTGTGTGTGTGTGTGTGTGTGTGTGTGTGTGTGTGTGTGTGTGTGTGTGTGTGTGTGTGTGTGTGTGTGTGTGTGTGTGTGGTTGCCTTTGCTGCCTCTGTGCATTCTCAGATAAGCGGCAACCTCGCTGACCACAGTTAAATGACTGCATTGTTGGTGTGTCGAGCGTTGCCAACAGCCTCCTGGGCCCTGTGATAGCTAGTTATTAGCATCTATTTTGTGGCCATTTGCATGGGCTTATTGGATATTAGTAGTGTCAGGTGGATAGGGTCGTTTTCTGGCTCTATTTAGCAGAGAAGCAGGTATTGAGGTCAAGTCGCCCTCATATGCTTGATGTAGCTGTGGCTAATTTACACTGACATGAAATTGCTCGTTAAAAGATGAACGTGTATCACTGTTACCAACAAAAAGAAAATGAAGACTCTCAAATAATAGATATGCTTACATTTTCAATACATCCATAAACAGTGTAGCTACAGGACAGAGAGGGGCACTATGAAATGTGTGTGTTTTCCTGACCTTAAAATGCACTTTGCCCATCTGTTTTCTATTTTCTTGCCCAACAGAGAGCAACAGTGGGAGGAGAGGCACAACTCGCAGAAGTCGGCACAATGTCACAACATGTTTTTTTTGTATCCTCATCGGAAAAGTGGGGGCAGCATCTGCCTGTGTCCTCACTCTTTTCACCAACACCTGGTGTTTTTTTGTATTCAATTTTCTATTTTCTGTGTCTTTGTATTTAGAAATAATGTACAACAAATTGAAATCGGTGGTATTGCCTACTTTAACTTCATGGATATAGTCCCTGACCATGACTCAACTGTTAACTATTTGCAACAAGTGGCTTTGTGATATTATACTAGATTTCCATATGCTCCATTTTTTAAGTAGAGCTTGCATGTCACTTAGATTTCACAATGCATTATTGAAATACAAGTTCAACAAAAGACTTTCAATATGAAATGCAATTCACTTTACTTCACTAGGGGTATCAAAGGGCTAAGTTTATCTTCAGGTTTGGTGCTTCAAAAAACATTACAAAGTTACAGTATTAAAACAAAAGTGCCGTATGGTATCATTCTCTTATCTGCACATTTTCCAGATGCCAGTTTTCGAACCACAAAATGTTTCAAAGACACTGGCTAGTCCACAGAATATCGAAACGGCCCCATCTCCTTATTTAATGAGCGTCTAGACTTTTCTCTGAGCCACTGTGGCAAATATTGACAACTGAGACAGGGATGGAAATGAGGATGGTGATGCTTGCGGACTGGATCCCTGTATGATTGTCAGGACAGCCATCCCCCTGTGTCATTATTGTGTGTGATCGTGTGTGTGTGTATGTACCAAAGTTCCCTGCAGCGGGAAGTGGAGCTGTTAATAATGTGTTTCACAGTGTGGTGTCCCCTGGATATTCGCCTCTAGTTACTGTGCAGGTGGATTCCTTGGTTAACTTTTGTGTGTCAGGAACACAGCTTTAAGGTATCAGTAAGTCAGCGTGTTTGTGTGTGTGTGTGTGTGTGTGTATGTTGAGCCATGTGTGAGTATGAATAATTTGAGTATTGTCTGGATCGTCACATTATTACTGGTGCTATATGCTGTATATAAATGTCTTTGCTTCCTTCCCTGCCGGCAATATGTACATGGATGGATTTAGCTATGTATGGCAGTTTGTATTAGAAGTGTGTAAGTGCCTGCTTATGTATGAGAGCATATGTTTCCTTACCTCCATGCTGTTACAATCTGTGCAAGGATATAGGTATAGTATAGTGTATGTGCATGTCAGTGTGTTTTTGTAAGTGTGTGTGTGGGGAGAGACCCCTAGTGGGTTTTGCTGGTGACGGGTTCTGATGGTGGCTGGTACCCCGCGGTTCTCTTTATCTCTCCTCCTCTCTCTTTCCGTTTCACCACAGCCCCTACTCTTAATCTTCCTTTAACTCCCCGTTTATCTCTCCATCTTTAGCCTCCCCCCTTCTCTCCATTTGAGCAGACATGCACCATTTTCTCTAAATGGTGTTCAGACATTTGGAACCTATTGGACTGAGCAATGAGTAGGAATGCCTAAATATACCAATAAGGTTTAAACAGTGGGGGTGGGGGAGCTTTCAGGACTCAGCGGACCATGACGTGTGTGAAAGTATGTGTGTGTGTGTGTGTGTTTAGAGGAGAGACGCTCATTGCAACCAGCCCAATGACCTTCCTTAATTGGCGTTTTAAAGCATAAAACATGCATATGTAAATGTGGAGTTAGTCACAGTCACCAAAAGATGAAGAAGAGTGCTACCAAGGCCAGCTGTTGGTTAATCAGAACAGCGGTGGTGTTTTTGATTAGCAGGCTCCTGTATTAATTGGAGATAAAGAACTACGATGTGCATGACTACCATCAGCATGGGAGTTGACATAAACATGGCAACAAAGGCGAAGTAAAGGTAGTTATATGCTCAACAAAATGTTGAACAAAAATCCAGGTTTCAACAGAAAAGGCTTGACTTAAAATGTAATTTTACTTAAAATGATCATACAGTAAGTAATATTCAAAATGTAAAGGAGTTATTATACAATTAAATCCTGAATAGAAATTGCAAAGGAAATGGTGTTTGCATAATAATACATGTTGCCTCTGAAAGGGGGTGAAGAGGGTTTTTTGGCAGATAGTATTTAAAGATAATTTAAAGACAGAGCATTGGAAAACACTTCCAGCTGAGCTTTAAAAAGGCAGAGAGTTGATGATGGTCATCATGTTTATAATTATAAAGAATTGTTACAACACTAAATGAATGTGTTCTTGTAAATGTCTCTCAATAATTCTTAGTGTGCATGAAACCATGCAAAGGTTTTCATATATATTCATCTTTTTAGAGTTTGGCGATTGTTCTACGTGTACAAGAAATCCATCTCTTCTAATTAAGAAGTTATTGTTTATTTTTTAATATCTGGAATTCCAGTAACCTAACGAAGTGCACGTCTTCCAGTTCAAAGACACACGGACACACATTCTCAAAAGCTGGAATGTGTCCAATAAATATTGATCTCCAATGAACGACAGACACAGAAAACAAAACAACGACATTTCTAAAACATGGGATAAAACATCAAGAACATTGTGAGAGAAGGGAGAATGGCTGAAAGAACTACAATCCCAGCTCTTTGGGGATGGTATTATCTCTTTAGCCTGTAGCTTAATAAGAGAAGCTTTGATACAGACTCACACCGACTCCAGTGAACTGTTAAAAGACGGCCACATAAAGGTCACATGGGTGTCTCACTGTGAGCTTGTTAAAACAAAAGCCCATAGGATTCCTAAAGGGATTCTGGGGAGATGCTTTACTCAGATCTTCACCGGTAGCCAGGAATATACTGAATGGAGATACGCTGAGGGGAAGAAAGCCCAGCCTTCATCTCATACTACATCCAGATAACAAAAGTGAAATGTCAAATTCAGAGAGCAGAATAAAGCAGCTGTTAAAATGTTACACTTATGCTACAGCAGTGATCTAATAAGGCCTAATGTAAGACTGTTGAAGCTGAACAATCAAAAATACAAAAGACATTTTCCAACTGTGTTAGCTTGGCTGTTGTCCAGTTAGCTTTATTAAGTCAAACAAAAGCTCTTAGGCAGTCCGGGTTTACTCTGAGGGCAAGCAGAACTCGGACTGTGCTAATTACCCGTCCTGTTCCTCCAAAGATAACAGCCTTACTCTTAATCCTGGCCAAAACAAACAGCTTCAGCAGAAAGGCAAGAAAGATGCTTTGTGTTGGCTTTTCTAGTTATTGTTGAGAGCATAAAGTCCTGTTAGAGTCAGAGTCATAGAGAGGGAGTTCAAAGCAGAGGCCCTAGATTCTCCCTGAAATGCTGAAACCGCTTGTTGATGGTTTGGTTACAGCTAAGAGGAGTTCATGGCACTTCCTTTGTGCAGTGCTTTCTTTTCAGATCAATCTCAGTAGAGTTGAGCTATAAAACAGACTTTTATTACTCAACATGCTTTTGGAAGTATACTGAAAACCTGGCAAACCAAAAAACACAACACAAATGTCCATTCACTTGTATTGCATACTGAATATTTTACTTTAAAATGTGGTATTAATGTAATTTATTTAAGAGTCTACCTAGCAATTTGGAGGATTAAATACTGGATGTGTTTTGTGTAAACTTATTTATTGCAATGGGAATTTTTTTGTTAAAAGAAAACGTCTTTATTAATAAAAATAACATCATACTCATGCTGTCAAAACGTTTTTAATTAAA